AATTGCTTAGTAGATTCTTATGTCATGTCTGTTAACCCTCAGGTAGCAGGGGATAGATACATGTAGCTTACTCACACACCATATACGCCCACCCTCTTGCTTATCCTCATATTCTCCCATCAACATCTTGTACCATTTAGGGTTATATTTCAGGTGTTGGTTTATGCCGACATTATGAGATAGAACCTGAAGGAACACACCAGGGTGCATTTCCTGTTGTAATACCTTATTAGGCTTCCTCGTGATGCCCTCTCTTGATGATTTCCCGCTTCAGGTGACTCTCGATCTGTGTCGAGCTGACAAGTTTGCTGGTCTGTTGAAGACAAGTTTGGATAGTTTCTCACAGTTGCTGGAGATAGCAACCATGAATGAAGTTGGCAAGGTACAAATTAAACAACTCCCTGTTACCATGGAATTTGATTAGTACAATTAAGTTGCTCATTGATTGGTATTATGTTGCTCTTGCAGTATACAGAGGAACTTCTAAGCTATTTAAAAGCATGCTTCACCATTGAACCTACATCGACTGTCTTATGTGTAGAACAGGTACGTAAAAACAATACAAATGTAATTTCTTTTAAAGAAAGTTTGATCTTGAGTACAGTTATCATGAGCTCATGCTGTGACTGTGACAAGTATTAGTTTTTCTATTTAACAGAATAGGTTCTCGTTTTAATATTGTACAGCTACTGAAAGCTCTGTTCTTCACTAACATGGCTAGCTCCGCAGAGATTCCATCTTCCAACTTCCCAAACAAACCAGGCAAAGCATTTCGTTTGACATCAAATATGAAGCCTGGTATCTACCATGATTGCTTTGTCACACCCTTGACCCAGTATAACCAGTCACTAAACCAGCTTGGACCAAAGATGCGTGCTAATCCTGAGGCTGAAGGAGGAAGTGCTGGGTATGTTGGATAAGAAGAATAGGTTAACTTTATACTGCCCATCTAGTACCCTTTAAAATAATACTTTTCATTTAGTATCACAAAGAAATCAAGAATATCAAACGAACATAGTATTGCCAATCTAAACTAAACTTGATTGTTCATCCTGAGACTGAAGGATATCCTATTGGATATGTGGAGTGAAAGCGGCTGTTTAATCCAGTATTTCCTATCTACATGTAGTGCTGCAATTTGAGTCATACTTCATAGGCTACAGAATGAGGTGCATGTCAGTGGATGACAATCATTAGCTTTACATACAATGGACCACCTGAAACCCCATACTCAGTGTTAATAACAAGGCTGAGGAAACATGCACTTTGTTTATTGGAATAGAGTTAAAAGTCAGTTCATGTTACACAAGAAAACAAACACCTAAAATGATTTTATAACAGTTGTACTCTGGATAGTGTGGTTGTCATCGTCGTGACAAATCTGCTTCACAAGAAATATTAAGAAGCTATTTGAACAGTTTATTGTAGTTCTAGCAATCTTGTACCACCAACTGAGCATAAAAAAACTACTATACAGACTGCTCAGTGTGCAGTTTCTGGCATCATCAAGCATCATTGTAATGTAACTTTTCTGTTTTTGAATTGCAGGTTGTTTGGTTGGGTGAAGTCAAAGATTGACAAGAAAAGCTTGATGGGAAGGGTCAGCAATAAAGAGAAGGTTCATGCTCAAAATCCAATTCAGATAATTAAAACTGCCTCTAATGTATTTGATATAAAGCTATTTTTGTAAAAAAGTACTTACATGTGATATTAAAGAGAACTTATTTTGTTATTTCAGACCTCAGTGCACTCATATATCCGCCTGTTTGAACCGCTAGTCATTCGAGCTCTGAAGCAGTACACCATAACAAGCAGCATCCCCCTACAACAACAAGTCTTGCATTTGTTAGCGCAGCTTGTACAGTTGAGAGTCAACTACTGCTTGCTGGACTCGGACCAGGTTAGTGTCCATTTATGAACCATGAACATTCCAGAATACATCTTAATATCAAATGCTTCTAGCTGATGAAGCCGAAAATGAACTTTTTTAAGACTGAGCTAGATTGGCATCTCATAGCCCGAACAGTCTCAAATCCTCCAATTTCAATGATTTTACATACCCCCTATGCGGTTAGGGTTAATGACTTGTGAGTATTCCATAGAAAACATTACTTGGTACAGCTCACTGTGTTCCATTACTCAGTGATGCATCAAATTAACTGCAGTGTTGCTATGTGATTGTATATGTACTGCATATTTTACTTTTTTGTCACAGATCTTCATTGGCTTTGTTGTGAAACAGTTTGAATATGTTGAGGAAGGCCATGTCAAGTAAGTAAATATTATTCTTGTGTGAATAATATTCCCTATTTTTCTTTTACTCTGTTTTTGTCATTTCACGAAATCTGAAAACAAACTTTTAGTGCATCAGCACAATGTAGAATGTACCTTCTTTGTTGGGCTCACAATTTAATTGTACGTGTTGAAAACAAATCATTTGTCTTTGAGACCATGGTTCGTAAGACATAAATTTGTTGATTGTTGAATTTCTGCGTGGTTTGTGCACGTATCAACAAAGCAAAGAAAGCACAGCATACACAGTTTTTGAGTGAATTTTGTATTCAGGTTTCACGAGCATGAAATGAGCAGTTTGAATAAAGATATGTTGACAATCCCACATTGACAAGAATACTACAGTTGAAATTCAGGGATACATTGTATTTGATGTTTTGGTAGTCAACTTTTAACCGAGATATCAGTGTTGGTTTAACTTTATATTAATGCTGTTTACCTGCTTCGATGTATTCAGGGACTATGATACCCTTATACCTCACATCTTCCATTTCTTGGTGCTACTATCCTATGAGCGTTATCACAGCAAAGCAGTCATTGCAATGCCTAAGATTATACAACTCTGTGATGGTATTATGGCAAGTGGACAGCAGGCAACCACACATGGTAACTTTTTATTGACTTTTATAAACAAACTTTCTATGAACCAGAATTTTTCTGTTTAATTGGTTCAGAAAACAGAAATTTTGCTCATATGTATGAGATAATGATACTTTTATGTTGATGAGGTGAGTATATTATTTCTTTAATTAAAAGAACTTGTGAAACTTGTTGATATCATTACAGCTGTACCTGCATTGAAGCCACTGGTTCATGACTTGTATGTTCTACGTGGCTCTAGTAAATCTGACTCGGCAAGAGAGCTAGACACTCAGAGAGAAGTAGTTGAATCTATGCTGCAGAGACTCATTCACTTCCATCAGGTATGATATTATTTTTTAAAAAACGTTGAATCTACACTTCATTTGCCAGCCCTCATATACTTTTTGTCACACTCATAAAATACTTGTATCTGAGTTTTGCAGGCATTAGAGATGTTCATTCCTGTCCTGTTGCAAGCTCATCGAGATAGTGAAGACAAATGGAAAAGACTGTCACGACAAGTTGTGGACATGATCTTACCTCTGTTAGCAAGGCAACAGGTGAAAAGCTCAAAACAGAGACATAGCATCTTGATTTTCTGAACAGCATTTATGTGAGAATTATGTCAGAATTTTCAGCCTGTAGCATTCTACTGAGAAGAGGTTTGACAGTTATCTTGTTTCTCCCTTTTAGATTAATTTGGATTGTCAGGAAGCCCTGGACACTTTGCATCACCTGTTTGGAGTTGTTGCTCCCAGTGCTCTTAGACCTGTGGATATATTGCTCAAGTCGTTGTTACTTGTCCCTTACGAAACAGTAAGTGCATAGGATTCACAAAGTTCATTTATTCAGATTTTGTCAGAACATTACTGGCATGGCATATCATTTAGTATACTTGTTTGTTTACTTATTGAATTATTTTATTGTCTTATGTGTAGAACCATCCTACCCTGAAGCAACGCTGGTTGGGTATGGCCCTGGCAATTCTGAATGTTCTTATCTCCCAGTCTAAGGAAGAAACTATCCTGTCTAGGTTAAGAGAGCTTGGTCTAACAACAGACCTGTTTGTCTGTCCACTGGAAGATGAAAGAAGCCGAGAAGAAGACATTGTCAACGCAAATGTTTTACCTGCAGAAGATGTCCTTGCAAGGTGTGAACAATGGCATGCTCAAATTAAATTCAATATTCAGTATTTGAGTAATGTGTGTGAAGAGATGTAGCTGTGAACAAAATACAGATAGCATGATAATATTCAGGGACAACCAAAAATATATTGTAAAGGCCTTTTTGGTATATATCCTTATATTTCTGCTACAACTTTCAGATTTTTAATGCAAGTAATAGGACTTACCATCAGCAGAGGCATCCAGAACCTAGCAGGATCAATGCAAGAAAGTCAGAACGGGGCCTTCATCTACCAGGAACTCTCACACCTATTGCTGTACATAACACACATGTTCAAATCAGGTATATTGTCAACAAACTGGGATGTGGGATGGCATAGTTTTCCTGGACCCATTTCCTTGTACAGTTCTTGATTTCACAATGTTTTGAGTACAAAGTACCATTTCTTTCAGAATGTGCAAATTAAAACTCCCAACTTGACATATAATTGAAGTCAGATTAACGTCACCTGCCTTACTCTTGTTAATGATGACTGCATTCTGGGATAATGATAAGTTGTCTGGTATTGTTATGTCTAAGAATATAACAGTCCAAATAGTCATTGTATTGGATTCTAAATTAGTTATATTGAAATTTCATTACAGAAAACATTTCACCTCAGTTTACCTACATTTGCATAGCAGTGCGCATGTGCGTCAAAACTCGTTGAAAAAGGTCGCCCAAGCCACACCCTCCATGCTCACTGCATGACCCCTCATAAAAGGCTGCGTAGAACTAAGACTCGTCCTAGTTTTTTTCAGCGATGCATTTAGTCGACATCGTGTGAATATAGTATACAATAGAGTTTCACATTTACACGCGACCTCGCTATTTTCCATGTAAAAATGGCGGAGACCACCAAAACCTGACACAGGACTGGAAGTTCTATCTATGGTTCGAGCCACGTTACGGGCAAATCCACGGTTCCTCTAAGCCTGATCGGCCCCTTAAGCATGTCATTTTCACCGAGTCTACTCTGCCGTGTTCTACAAGTGGAAATTCCCTGGTGCCGAGCCCTTGACCAGCACTTAACAGGGCCTCTCCCTGGCAGGTTCCGTACACCTTCGGTGGCCTACTTGAGCACATGACAGCAGCGGAGTCCAATGTGCAGCTGCGTGCGGAACAGCGGGGCCCGGCGCTCGATGCAGCACAGTCATCTGAACGTCCGGCCACCCCCACTGGTCACAGAGGCCCGGGGCATCACCACTGCCTCAAGTCAGCAGCACATTTTCAGCCATGCGGAAGACAACCTTTTTATTGCAGATACAGGTTAGACGCAACAGCTTCAACCTCGTTCTTATCCAAGTGTTTGGTCTTACTCTTCAAACGACTCTAGCCCGTCGGTACTACAAGCATCCAGATTTTTCAGCAGTGCAATCTGATATTCCTGTGAGGGACAGTTGGTGCAGTGCACAACACAACACAGCTGTGCTTCTTTGAGGTGTTTACCAAGTGACCCAAAGAGCGACTTCAGCATAGGAGGGTTAAGGGAGGGGTAGCAATATCAAAGTTAGCGCCCTCTTGAGATGACGACCACACACATTTTCATAACAGCCTGGGTGCCATCTCAGTTGGCCTCCTTGCCCTTCCAGTATTTTGCCTCTAGACAGCAGACAGGATGGACCTTTGTCATTTTGGTATTTCTTTCTTCAAGCCACCCACTGGTCAGAGGAAGACTTCTTCGGTTGGGGCCTCACCACAGGGCAACTTCATTCCCAAAGATTGATCCCTTCATTTGTTGCTCAATCTCAGTTAGGGAAACCTGTGCCATTTGCTTGTTAGAGACAGAGGTTTTAGGGATGTCCCATAGTTTTATCCCTTCATTTTTGCTCAACCACAGTGAGGGTAATTCAATAAGGGGTGCTTCCAGTTATTTGTGGAAAAAGTGGTCGCTGAGGGTGTGGCTTGGCCGACCTTTTTCAGCGAGGTTTGACGCGCATGTGCGCTGATATGCAAATGTAGGTAAACAGAAGTGAGTGTTTTGTTACTAGAATGGAAAATCCCATTGGATTTTGGGAAACTCACACCAATTCTTACATAGGTATTTTTTGTGTCAGGTTCAGTTGGCCAGGGCTCTTCATATGTATTGTTCATCAAATGATTTCAAATATATACAAATACGAGGAGCAAAATTTGCAAATTGAAATAAGTAACAAATGTTTATTTTGAGTTCTTTTTTCTTCTTTATTTCCAGGTGCTTTCAGGAAAGTTGCCGTGGCAATGACAAGCATGATTCGGAACTCAACTCCAAGTTGTTGGTTTACACTAGATCAGCTCAATCATGCCTTTATCAAGCTTAGTGTTTCTCATCCTATACTTGTACTTCAGTGGTGTCAGGTGCCATGAATTTTTATTATATAAGTGGTTTTACAAACTAAATTCCCTGATTGTCAGTTTTAAATGATTATTGTGACTTTTATTGAGAGGATAGAATACATTAAAGAAACAAAGTTTTTGCATTGGGTAACTTGTTTTTAGAACATAGTTTTTGGGGGATCACATTTGCATTCAGTCTGTGTCTTCACAGTGAGATAACACTGCTAATGAGCCCTTCATAATAGGTCAACCTTTTCCTTTTGTGTGTGTAGATTCTTCTTCTTCTGAACTACAGTGATCAGGACTTCTGGTCTGTCATCTTACAAACCCCCAAGAGACAACCGTTGTCCAAGTCCCTGTCAAGTGGTAGCCTTGATAATCTGGAGACAAATTTGGATCAGACTAAAGGATGTCCAGAAGAGATAATTAAGCGAGGAGGTTTGATACTGTACTGTGACTACGTGGTATGTACTCGTATTTAAAATCTTAACATCTTTAGTGCATGAAAATTACAGTCAAAATTGGCCAAGCATGACAGCTTTGAGTCAAATTTTATTTCTTTTTCATATTTTTTATCATACTTCACCTCTTCAGAGTGTTGCCGTACCAATATATATTTTTTACTTGTTTCTTTAGGTATAAACTAGGTTAATAGTGGTGCATGTATCGATGATGCTTTGATGTTACTCTGTTTGCAGTGTGAGAATCAAGCTGATGCCGAGCCATTAACATGGCTGGTTGTAAATCACATCAATGAAATCATACAACTTTTCCATGAACCACCAGTCCAAGATGTTATCAGGTGAGACAGATTGAAAGCAGAGGGAACAGGCATTGCTAAATAGGTTGTTTGAAGTTAAACAACACACAGATCCGTTTTATTTTTAGAGAATAATCTAACTGATTATAAGTGTTTTGCTGTTTTGGTGTAGTATATATGATAAGAATAAGTGAAAATAGTCTCAGTTCAACACAAATGAAAAGAAAATTCAAAAGCACCGTCAATTCATTGACTATTTGTCACTGAGTAAAATAGCTATTTTATTCATTGTTGTTGCAGTGCAATTCATCGTAACTCTGCTGCCAGTGGTTTGTTTCTACGTGCAGTCAATTTGCGCTTTACTCACCTGTCGGACCCGTGTTTGGTCAAACTAACCCTTCAGTGTCTCCAGGGAATCCACCTTTCTCAGTCAGGTATTTCATCATGTCTTTTTATAAAGCCTGTACAGTACATTCAACTTAACAACTTACAACTCACAAAATATGGAAGGCCTGACGTTTCGATCCTAGCAGAATCTCTCTCAAAGGCAAAATGACAAGAGACCGCACAAACAAGCAAACGGGCAATAAACCAAGCATGGACAAATGCAAGGGGACAAAAGGAAAGGTCAAGAAGGCTGCAGGCTGGATAAAGGGGCAAGGGGTAAAGGGGACTGCATGAAAGGCATGGTTGAGCAACAAAGGGATCTAAGGTGGGAAGAGATCAAAGAAAAATATGGAATGAACCGGACCCCGAATGGGGGTTAACCATTTTTTAAGTTTTTCAGTGATATATTGAGCTTGCCTACTTCGTAATTTTTTGTGTGTTCACAATGTTGTAAAATATCTGTTGATAAACAGGTGTCCTCTTGACGATACTGATTGAGCGGTTTTTGAATACGCATCAACTAGCTGTTGCTCGTCTGTGTGACTCCATTGCATGTAGGAGAGTTGAGATGTTGCTGGCAGGTGGACTTGATGACTCCACAACACAGCTATCTGCAGAACAACTGGAAAAACTGGACGATTTCATGAATGCAAACAAACTGACACAGAGGTATGAGTCTACTGTGTACAGCTTAGAATTGAAGCACATCATTGTGAGTGACAAAGAGACGTTTATTTTTGGTTCAAAGATTGTGTCTTTTAGCTCAAATGTTTTCTTGAAGGCCTCAAGGTAGTTTTGAAGCACATTTGTTGTGAACAAAGAAAACCAACTCCTGATAACAAACCTACCCTCCAACCCCTCAAATACATACATACCATATAAGAAATTAATGTTGGTTTCCATTGCTTTATCAGCAGAGATGAATTTCATGTTCCTATCATATCTTTTTAATGTTTTTGTTTTAAAAGACATCCAAGATTGGCTTCTCTTCTGACTCGTTTCAAGACGGTCATTCTACATCAAGACACCACCCAGTCCCCATCATCCAACATACAACATACTGACATTGCTTCCATTACTCCTAATAAGGTTAGATTAACTAATACATGTTCAAGGGAGATGAGATTTGCAGTCATTGGAATGCAGATTACTTCAGTTTGTAAAACACAGAAATGTGTGCTTTCTGTAGAGACCCTTGCCTTGTCAACCATTCCAGATAACAGGAATAGCATGACAATTAAGTACGTTGTCGGCCATAACCTCAGACATAAATGCTTTACTAAAACAGGTTCTTACAATTTTAATCACTGACTTGGTGGATAAATTCTGCTTATACAAATTGATGATGGTCAATATCAAGACTCTGAGCATTTGTTTATTTGTTTGTAATTTTGGTCTGCATGTACAGCAAGAATTTCCTAGTTGTCGTACTTTACAAGGTAGATTTTGTGGTGTTTCATCACAAGTGGCACTCTTCCTTTCTTCAGCAATAAATAGTTTTCTGTCACTCTACAGACTCCATCACATAGTTCTTACCCAAACAACTTCTTGTCCATTTATCAGGAGTGGTTCTTGTCTGTAGTACAGCAGGGATGTTTTGGACAAACAACCGCATCTGCCAGGGAATGCTCACTTCTTCTTGCTCATCTTCCTCTTGAAGATATAATAGCAACCATGATGACTGAGGTACATACATTGCTCAATACACTCCACACATGCTTGGATTTTATATGAGACACTAATTTGCCCACGATTTGTTAAATATGGCAGAGGAGGTAATGGGTGAATGTTGAGTAATATACTGAGTCATGCACTTTGTCCAGGTTGACCAATTTCTTGATTTTTAGTTCCCATCTGTACCAATACATATTTAAAAGGTCATTGTGCAAAGTCCTGTGCAACTTGAGAGATCATTTTTTTCCCAACTTCTAGATTCATGTCTGTATATTGGTCATTCGCAAATCTGTTTTAAAGTTGCCAAATTTAAATTGACTTTCAGGACTTCAGCTTTCCTTTGCTAGAAGACTGCATCCTTGTGGGCTTACAGCGGACTAGATTACTTCATCTTCCAAGCCATATATCATCACAGACCATTGCACCTAACAGTGTTGAAGCCAGCAGCAAGCACAAACCTCAGGATGCCATGCTTGAAGCTGCCTGCACCACTCTCTTGAGTCATATCCACAATATTATTGCCATGATGCCTGCTGAACATACAATTCTAAGAATTGACTCAAGGCTTGACTCTGAAATGACACACAAAAGTCACATGATGTCCTTGATACAGAATGTAGAGTGGAGGGCAAGAATTTTCGAGTTAGCATCAGCGCTGGTCAAGTACTTGACAGCTATGAAATTGCTAGCAATACCTGTACCTCCTGAGTCACTAAACGAGATTGCAAGACTGGCTGTAACATGTGTTGAGGTTTGTTGACTTGAACTAATTTTAGATGCACTGTAAGCATTGTGTGGTCAGCATTTTTTTAATGGTATAAAAAAACATATTTCAAGTCAGATTCAAACATCAACCACTAAACCTTTTAGAGTTAATTTCAGGACCTGTTAAAGTAATTAGTGACAAGCCATTTCTTCCATTTAATTGGATCCATGATTGTCAACAGTTGATTGGACCAAGCTTTTACTCAAGTACAGTGAAAGGAAGGAATTTAGTTTTTGGAGAATAAAAACGATTAAAATAAAAAAAATGCTAACAGATACATATCTTTACAGGTAACATGCTGGTCATTGACAGAGGGGTCAGATTTAGCATCTTCGTTGATTGTGACAGCACTGGAATGTGTGGGAGTTACCCTACAAAATCAACACATCTTTGCTGTGATTGGTTTAGCAGATAACATGACATGGGCATGCTCTACCATTAGCTGTCTTCATCAGATTGTGAAAAAGAGTGAGTGAGAATATGTACAGTGCAACAGGACTGTTTTGAAATCCGTATTTGTATACAGTTTACATTGCAACAATCGTTTATAATTTAGTTGAAAGTTGTTTCCTCATTGTTTTGTAACAGTGAATCCACACAGAAAGTGCTTTTCTTCATGGGATATGACACCAGAGCAGAAAAGCTTACTTAGAGGTCAGTACAAAATTTACTCCCTGGTATTCTCTTTATTTGATATTTCTTCTCGTTTTAATCAAAGCAGATTGAACTCATCTTGTGCTCTTGTTTTTTGCTACAATGACAGTGACCAAGTGACCATCACAAGACCTCACAAGACCATTACAAGACAAATACCAAACCTCCAGTCTAACTTCAAGTCACAAGCTATTCAAATGAATTGCAAAAGAAGTATTTTTGTCATTGTTCGCACTGCTACTTATGAGTGGTATTGTTTCTGCTCTTGTGGTGGTCTTGACTTCAACACTTGTGCTACTGTATATTTGTAAGATTTGTAGAGACCATATTTAAGTTTGACTCAATTTGATTACAGAAAATCTCAGAGTTAACTTTTTCATAAATCCTCGTAAGATTTTGATAATGTTTGTTTTTCTGTTTCGCAGAACATCGGACAATAGAGACAGCCTGCCAGCAGATCACAGAACTCCTCTTCTGTCTTCATTACACCCCAACCACTGATGAACACAACACAGTTTGCCAACTTCCACAGTTCCTAAAGAAGCCACTTGGAAACGTGGTAGTCAGTATGGCCAGGTTACCATTGGTCAATAGTTATGCAAGGACTCCTCCTTATGCATACAAGTTGGGTTGGGTGCCTAGCCCAAAGGAGGGGTCAGTAGAGATACCCCCATTGCCCATGGAATATTTGAAAGAGAAAGAAGTTCTGAAAGAATTTGTTGTCAGAGCAAACACTATTGGTAAGTAACACATAATCATAAGTTCAGGGATTTTGTTACTGTGGTTGTGATTTTTTAATCAAGTGATCGTTTGTCACAGGATTAAAGTCTAATAATTTGATACTTTACTTTTGTGTAGGATGGACCTCAAGGCAACAGTTTGAAGAAACATGGGCAGGACTGTTGGGCGTCTTCACTGCTCCTGTAATACCCGAAGAAATAGCTATAGAGGTAGAATCCTTCATCACTTCTAGTTAATTGCATGCTGCTTCAGCAGCTGAGTATATAGACTGTTTCTATGCACATTGAATTGCTTTCATCTTTTTCCAGGAGGACATTGAACATAGCCAATCTATATGTCTTGCTGTTCGCACCATATCCTCCCTCCTCGTGGACAGCTTACTTACCCCTCAGCCAGGTAATCCCACCAATAGTACCTATCAACATATACCTCGACATGGCCATCGTCACTTGCCATTTCTTGAGACATCACTTGGAAGGAAGCTGCTTGCTTTGAGATGGGTGGTAGAAAAGGAAGTGGATGCGATGGCATCAAACAAGTAAGAAAGAACAGCTTTAAGTTTATTTAAAATATCTAGAATTCTACCAAACGTTTGTGCTTCATTTCCATGTTCATGTTCATTTTTTTCCACAGTTATGATCTCAATTTTCAAACATATATTTGACACAGGTGGCGGAGCAGTGGAGGTACCCACTAAAAAGCAAAGCTTATGATTGTGGGCCCTAAAATCAGTGCATGGTTACTATTAATTAATTACTATACACAGACAAACTCGAGACAGATGAGACACTCTGTATGCCAGTTGACAATTATCTAAGTTGAAATAAAAAATAAGAAGAGGAGTAATGAAAAAGAACAAGGACCCTGGGCGATTTTAGATAAGTAGGTAAAGCTAATCAATTCCACAGTCAATAATTACCAAATTATTGATAGATAGTAATCATTCAATATGATCTTTTTGAAGTTCCATTTGAAGATTTGTAAATTTTTTGAGGCTTTCAGATTCTCATTCGAAGAGTTCCATAATCTTAGTCCTTCGTATCTGATTTGTTTTTTTTTTCCAAAGATGTAGGCATTAATGGCAGATGAAAATTTGCACCTTGGCAAATATAATGAGAATGAACATTGTAAAAGGAAAAGTCTATTAAGATTACTTAGGGAGCGTGCTCCCCATGCAAGAATACCATTACTAAGATACGATGATATTAAAGTATTTTAAAGAGTTGTTAAAACTACAGGAGGAATGAAATAGTTGATTCTGTTGATAACTCCCATATTCCTTGCAATAATTTAACAAAGGTAGTCTACTTGTTTGACCCAGGTTAATTTAGAGTCAATATATAATCCGAGAAATTTAATCCAATCAACCTTTTCCATGGGTACATTATTTATTTTAATGTCTGTTGGAAGTTTATTAGCTGTTGTACTAAATAACATAAATTTGGTTTTTTTAAATATTAACAGACAATTTTTTTACCGCAAACCAATTACAAATGGATCTCAACCCATGATTAGCTGTATTAACGAGGGTTGAAAGATTGCTATTAGAAACAAATAAACTGGAGTCATCAGCAAATAAGACGAATGAAAGTACATAGGAAGATGTGACAAAATCATTATGATAGATCTGGAAACAGCAACGGACCCAATATTGACCCCTGTGGAACCCCACATTTTAGAGTCATTGGAGTTGAATTAAAGCCACTTACAGAAACATATTGCTGGCTATTTGAAAGATAACTTCTGATCCACTCCAGGGCTACCCTACGTACACTGTAATGAGATAGTTTATATAGCAGGATATCATGGTCAATGGTATCAAATGCTTTTGAAAGATAAAGGAATATCCCTAGAGTGTGCTCAGAGTTGTCTATTGCATTTGTTTCTTTATCGACAAAGTAAAGAATTGCATGTGTAATAGAGTGATGACTTCGAAAACCATACTGACAATCAGTTAGGATATTATATTTATTTTAAAAAATGGATAGTACGAGTGTACACACTTTTTAAAAGATCTTAGACAAACAAGTCATAAGAGTTATGGCCCTGTAGTTCATGACAGAATTAACATTCCCATTTTGAAAAATGGGAATTACCTTTACAATTTTTAGTGCATCAGGAACTACATGTATTCCAGTTTGAATTTGAATTAATAATAGCAGCAATGGACTTACTACTTGAAGTTTTTTAATAATAGAGGAATTAATTAAATCATGGCCAGTGCTAGTTTTATTTTTTAGATTCTTGGTGAATCACCTCTTTCTCATCTACTGGCTTCAAAAACAGAGATCTTGGTTTAGGATTATTCAAAAATTGATAAATGATTCCGGCCAACAAGGAATATGTTTCACAAGATTAGGACCTAGATTGACAAAGTAGTCATTGAAATAATTGGCAATATGTTCGAGATTACCAATTAGTTTGCCTTCATGGACAATGCTGTTGATAGACTGGGAGGGCAATGTATTGTTTAAAACTGAGTTGATGACTTTCCAGGTGTTATGAATATTGTTTTTCTCCTGTTCGAACTGATTAGCATACTATTGTTTTTTAGAATTCCGTATATGATTGATTAAGATGTTTTTGTACTTATTATATTTCAGTTTTCATTCAGTTGTTGGATTATTAATATAACGATGATAGTTTATTTTTCTTTTTAATGGATTTAAGAAGTTTAGTTATCCAGGGAGCAGTAGAATTGCACTTAGTTCTAGATGTAGGTTTATCTAATTTCAAAGGAATATTATTGTTTAACTTCTTGTTGAATTTGTCAATAAATAAATTGAACGCTTGGTTGGGATCTTCACAAGTTCTGATAGGAGACCAATCAGTGGTATGGAGATCTTCTTTGAGGTTTTGTATATTAGAGGAAGTAAATGACTAGTACAAACATGATTGTGTATGTTAGATTAGTGGAAAGTTTTCTTGAGTGGCATTATCGTGAAAACTGGTAAGTGATCTGGGATGTCAGACAGGAGAATGCCTGCATTTGGTGATGGCAACACCTTCAATAAAATATTATCAATGTCAAGTTGTTTGACTTAGATATAGTACTGAGATGGCTATCTTAAGTCATCCTTTGCGGTTTGATTTTTCTCTCCACCAATGCAGTTATAATTTTGGAATATCCAATGTAAATGTGACTTATCCAACTCTTAACAGATTGTCTTTTTGTTCAGTACTTGGTTAATTCATTCTAAATCAGTCCCTCGAGTAATTGTATGTTTTGGTCTTTTGTAGGATCGATACATCAGCATCGAGACCCATCAGTGAGTTGGATAACATGGTAGATCTCTTTATGGATAATTTGGAACAGCAGCCAGACCATACTCAGTTTGATTTAGCGAGGGTAAGGTTTCATTAAAAAGATTTGCAGCTTGCTAGAGCAGCACTGTAATTGTTGGGATCCTTTCTTTCTTTTTTTTTCTTTTTTTTGTCTTTCCCGTGGACAGCTGAAAGTAGTATGTTCACCCAAATTCTACTGTTTCTGTCTTTGATTGGTTGAGCTCTTGATGTTTACTGTTCAGTGGTTGTTCTTCCTGCTTGCTGTTCCATAGATATCCGTGCACGGCATTTGGGCCATCAACAACATGCTTCCACCTCTGACAGATGAAGATCCTGAAATCTTAGATGAGAACACACAAGCTCCCAAGCCACTCAGATCATCTCCAGTCCGAATTCCAGGAAACCTTGATGTTCATTCGTGTCTGATGTTCCTAGAAGGATTGTACGGGCAATGGCTTTCCCCAACCACTGTTCCACGAACACCACTTATGCTCATTTGTGAAACAGTCAAATCAGTGAGTATAGCACTGAATGTATGTTCCATGTTCTCATGTTGTTGTTCACATACTGTAGAAAAGTTTGTCAAAATGGGTTTGAACATTTACTCTTGCTTGGTACCCATGTCAGTGCTTCAATGCAAGTCTCCCTCAATGCTTGGCTTTCAATTTTAAAAATACAAGACAAAAAAGTAGATTAAAAACTGGTGGAAAGCACCAGAAACAGTTCGCTCTTACATGAGTCAAAGCAGGGTCATAAGATTTTAGAACACAAGAAAAGAGCCAGTACTCAACCTGCCTGTTTGGTAATGTCAATGCAAATTTTTGTGGTTCTGATGAACTTCTGATTTGATATGTATTTCCATTGCTGCAGATCCTAGTGATCTCTGATGTATTCACTCAACGAGCTCAGTATGAGTGGATGTTTGACACCCTGTTAGATGTGAACAAGAATCATCCAGTAGAAGATGAGCTTGTTACTCAGTACGCTGTCCCAGGAATATGCAAAGCAGCTGCCGTCTTGGGCCTGGTAATCAACCTTTTCCTTTCAGTCATTTTTCCATCAGTCCCACATCTTTTAACAGAGATGCATTATGATCACTTCTTTCAACAAGCATCTGCTTTTTTATTTTATTTCAGTAAACACTTTATTTTATTACTCATGAAAAAGAATGTCTTTGAAAGTAAAGAATCCAAATAAATTCTAATTAAAAACAATCCTGAAAAATTTTAAAAGAACTGTGAATCGTGTACGATTGGAGCTTGTAAAGATTTAATCTTCTCTAAATGAGAACCATTTAGTGTGAGTTTGCACTGTGCAGTACCCGTCTACATGAACAAAGCCTTGTGGATGCATTGTTTGCGTCATAAATGGCTAGTTTGATGCAATTTTATATTTTCGAATAGGAAAAGGATGTTGCAGAGAAAGTGAGTAAGCTGCTAGAGGTCACACTACGTAGTACCCATCTACCAAGCCGTGTTGGTGCATTGTATGGTGCCCTTTATATCCTGGAGTCAGATGCAATTGAAGATATCAATGTCTTTGTTCCTGTTGTGTCTGATTATGTGGCCAGGAACTTACACTACAACTCACAGTAAGTTCTGCTCTGAATTCCTTTTCCAGAACTTGGAGTTTTTAACATGGTGAATGGTAAAGGGAGTATAGAATAAAATGCACTATAAGAAATATATAACCTACATAATATATTTTAATAAGCTCAAAATAGTGTGACTGCCCCAGCCATGGCTTATTCTGTGCAGGATATTTGTACAGGAACATCCTGCAAAAAATACAGGTAAGAGCAACCAATCGATAATGACAATTGAAAATCAAGGTAGTATTACTTGTGTATAGCATTCTATGAGTCACAAATGAAGTTTACCTAAACACCCCCTTGCAAGGAAATATCATCATCTCATTGAATAAATAGTCAATGTAAAAATTGAAAATGTTTGGGCACACAGTTATGCACTTTTTCCATCAGATTGCATTATTAATATTATTAAATTGTTTCCTACATTGTACTTAATTGTGACACTGTGACCCTTTTTACATTGTTTATGACTTTAATTTTTTTCTGAGTACAGTTGCAGTAGTCTTGCCAGTCAGCGTCACACATTGGTTATGTTAACAGCAGCTTTCTATGTGATTGAATATTACTATGAGTATATCAAAGCAACCGATTTCACCAGGGCCATTATGCAGGTAGGCAGATACAATTCCCTCTAGCTCCATGTAACTAGTAATTATGTCATTTCTCATTTATTTGCTGAGTCATTTCTTTCAAAAAGGAAATATTCGCCTTTCGGTGGTTCTACAGAAGTTTTGTCCAGTGTGCTTCTAGCAATTAATTAAAAGTGTTATGTTTCTTTTGTGAGAATGATTTCAAGATTTCAATATACCTTGTTAACATCAACCGTGAAACTGATGTCTTTTTGCAGTGTTAACTTCAGAAATGTTTTTATATGTATTTTATAAAGAGCTGCATATCCATGGCATCCGTAAGTGATGGAGCCACTTCACCAGCTGTCTACAAGGCTATCATGCGAGGATTTGAGAGACTTTTGATTTCTGGAGTGTTGTCTGTTCAAGAGATGGAGGTTCTGACAAAACTCAGTATGGACAAGTAAGAGTAAAAATAAGCAGAGTCCTTGATATGTGAACGCATCTTAATCCAATCTGCTCCAAGGGGAACAAATGAGGGCCTTATGGGCGTGTTTGCAATGGAGATCAATAGGGTGTTTGACGCAGAGCACACAGAGTACGCATAACAAATTCATTCCTTAATGTATGGTCTTTGCGCACACGCAGAACGCATGCAGGAACCCGCTTTGAAAACATGTAACCATCTGTCTTTCTTGTGCCACTTGGGAATGCTCTTCATGCGCGGGGCGGATAGAAACATCAAAACCATGTGGGTTAATTTATATAAGGTACTGATATCCTTATTTGTAGAGTTTTAGAGAGTTAATCTTCAACAAGAAGCAATTAAATAGGATATATACACTCCCCTTCTTTTTTTATCAGCTATGAACTTTGTCTTTTTTTTCAGTACCCATCAAAGAGACAAATGTATTTTCTATAACACTGAGCCTTGTGATTACTGTAGTGCATCTTTGCATGTTATGTTGTAGTTTTCTGTCCTGTTTACACACAGTCACATCTTTAATCCTAATCGGTTCTGATTGAGAACCACATGTTTATTTGACCATGACACTTCTTTCGTAGGTTGTGTATGCCTTCCCCACTCCATGCCATGTCAGCTTTAGGGCTTCTACTCACAAGTATGTACGTACAGAAACACAAACAAACAAGTGGCAGTAGTGACTGGTCAGATGACACATCTAGGTCACATGACCCCGAGAGTCAGGTGATGGCTATGGAAAGAATTTCAGTGCTGTTTGACAGGTAAGATATTTATTAAAATATTGCATTTCCTTCTTTGGAAACAGTCAAATTGGTATTTGTGATACTTTCAAAAATGGCTTTATCATACTTAAAATAATTACCAATGCATTCTGATTCATTTGCAGAATTCGCAAAGGTTATCCATCTGAAGCTCGTGCTGTTGCCCAAATATTGCCAGCCTGTGTCAGTGATTTCTTTTCACCACAAGACGTGATGAACAAAGTGATCGGTGAATTTCTTTCTAATCAACAGCCACATCCTCAACTAATGGCCACTGTTGTTTTCAAGGTTAATATGATTATATATCACTGTTTCAACCATTTACATGTACAACCACTATTGTTTTCAAAATAACGATTAAAGGTACAAATTACATTATTCGGATGGATTTTTTACCTGTACAGATGAACACATTTTACTGTTGTAAATGTTTCTTTAACCCTCCTATGCTGAAGTCACTCTTTGGGTCACTTGTTAAACGCCTCAAAGAAGCACAGCTTTGTCCTGTTGTGCACTGCAGCAACTGTCCCTCACAGGAATATCAGATTGCACTTTTGTGCTGCCCAAC